GGCCAAGGGGCCCGGCCGTTGTGGTTTGGGGTCTTGGGGCTTTCGGGATTAGGGCCTGCTTTGGGCTCAATTCCAAGAAGCTCCACGGAAAAAGTGTTGTGAACCTGCTTTCTTCTCCCAGTCCATTTTAACGACGGCTGCTCGTGTTTTGCACCTCAGCCCTGCCCGGCAAGCCAATGAGGCTGGTTGCTTCAGCCATTGGTGCGGGCATCGCAGAGGCTCAGTTGTGGAGTGAAAGATCGCACGACGCAGCCGACGTCCCGACAGTTCTGCTGACAAATCGTACTTGGAAATGCAGTGTGTGCCGTCGGTTGCCAAGGCTTTCACCCAAAATGCCCAGCCCCAACTTGGGGGTTTCCGAAAATAGGGAGGTACCTTATTGGGGTCCTTATTGCAAGGGAATCCTACTGTTTGGGGGTCTATATTCGGGTCGATATTGCAAACCCTAAGCCCTAAACCCTAAACCCTAAACCCTAAACCCTAAACCCAATGTGGAACCCAAAATCCTCAGCAAGTTCTCGCCTGGCGCAGGCCGCCACTCTGCCCACCGATGTAGCCAAGGCGAGGGCAAGTTGGGACATTAGTCACTAGGTAGGCCCTTAGGATATGTTGTGTTTTTCCTTACTAGGTTTAAGAGGATCCTACATGGGGGATTTTTCCAAAGGGATTTAAGGCCCAACCTAGGACAGTTCGAACGAGCTTGCATGGACTCAGGATTGAATTTTGAGTGCGCAGGTCGCGAGGGATCGAATTACAAGCAGGGCTGTGGGCGGTCGAAGGCTTCGCAAACAAGGCTCGGGGCCTTTGAGGGTGTCAAGGGTTCAAAGCAGTTTGGGCCTAGATGGCCTAGAGTTTGAGGGAGGAGGGGTTCTGGCTTTGTGAGAACCGAGCAAGATCTCCGCGAGGCCTCACTTATTCTCATTCTGTCGCCAGAAGAGCTGATGTGTGATCTGAGTGAGTAGTGTTATACCTATGGTACTTGCATACATTCGTCAGATGGCACAGAAATCATAATCGTACCGGACACCGCGAAGCCGTAGAAACAACCTTCTCTCGGTGGATGACGACCGTCGGTCGAAAGATGCCAGTTTCGTGCAATCGGAACTCCATAGTTTTCCTACAACACCAGCGCCTCAGTTTCAACCATAGCGACCCAAAACATGTCAGGTTCGGCTTCAGTTGCAGAGCAGTTCGGATGGCGATCTCAGGCCTGCAAGACAAGATTGTGGTATTTTTGTTGTGAGAGCCGCTGGCTGGTAATGCAGGTACCATGGCATGATGGACTGCATCGTCAAGGCGGCTGTCCATGCGGGTTTAGGGGTTGCAATACAGTCTTCAACTGACCCAGCAGATCTGTTCTCTCATGAAAAGGCAACAAATCGTCGCATGAATAATTTGGGGTTGGAGCAATCTCGAGGTCGCCAAAGTTGAAGGACTGCGAGCGCTGGGCTCTTTGAAAATTCCTTCAGCCCAGAACCCCCATTAACTCTGCACTTTTAACCTCCAAGACCAGGACATGTCTGAGTGCAGGGCTCTAGGGTCTTAGGGTGTCAGATTTTGGTCTTTAGGGTTGTCACGCGTAGGAGCTTCAGGTATTGAGTCTACATGGGTCTAAAGACATAAGCAGACAGCGCGGGTGCAAGCTTGGTAGCCTCCAGCCTCCGGCGCGCATTGTTCGCCAAGGTTGTGGAAAGGTCTCGTACCGGCGCTGGTGCGACAGGCGACCGTCATAGGAAGCTGTCCTTAATTCTCTTCTGGGAGACCAGCGTCCGATTTAGTGCCTTTTTTCGCCAGCGCAGAACAGGAAAAAATGCAAAGCACCTCGGCTTGCTTGGATGTGTACCGCTGAAATGGCCAGGTGTCTTACCACTCGTTCACGTTCGTCCTTTACGAGCCCATTCGGGTCACTGGCTCAGACCGGCACAGAATGCATTGCAGGAACAGCATCAGCGCCCGAAACACAAAAACCCCAGTTCATCAAACCCAGCCAGCTCCTTCTTCGAACATCGGCTTTAAGCATGTTTATTATGGGATGCAGGTGCAGGAACCTCACGGCAGATGGTTAACAGACCTGTGCAGACCTTCCGACACCAATCCGCTGGCGCAAAAGCTCCTAGCAGCAATTCGCATGGCCTCGGCTCCCTTATACTTGTTGTTGCTTGCTCCTTCTCTACACACACTTTTCCATGTCTACACGAGCTTTGACCTCAGCTACTTTGTCAGGGGTGAGGAACTCTTAGGTCCCGAAGGCGCAGCACATGTTTCAGCCAAGTTATGTTAGCAACTCCCTGTGTTAAGGAAGCTGGTGTTTTTGTAAAGTGTCCTGTTTGACTTACAAGGCTTGAGGCTTGTCTATTCGGCCAAGGATGTCGTGAGCGCGCTGTTGGCAATGGAGCCGGGTCAGACAACGTACCTGCTGTGAGGGCCTGGGCAGGGAAAGCAGAGTTTCGAGCTTAGGGCTTAGGGCTTAGGGTTTAGGGTTTAGGGCTTAGGGTTTAGGGTTTAGGGTTTAGGGTTTAGGGTTTAGGGGGCAGTTCAGCCTGGGGTTGCCATGCGCAGTGTCTGGCACACCCTGAACCCCCAGCAAACCCTTCAGGGTTTTAGGCTTGCAGGCTTTCGTAAACCCTAAACCCTAAACCCTAAACCCTAAACCCTAAACCCTAAACCCTAAACCCTAAACCCTAAACCCGAAACCCTAAACCCTAAACCCTAAACCGGGGTTCTAGCCCCCCCCCCCCCCCCCATTTAGGGGACTCTCCCTCCAGAGGGGTAAAGTGTAGACTGTATCAACAATCACTTCTGTAGGTTAGGCGGTTAGCATGTATGAGTTTTAGGATCATGTAAGTGTAGGACCACCTCAAAACCCTAAAGTCCTAGTGAGTGACTCCTTGACTCTTATTGTTAAACACTAAACTCCACTAAGCCTTCAACTTCGAACCGTATTAGACAACCCTAAACCCAAAACCCTAAGCCCTAAGCCCTAAACCCTGAACCCTAAAACCTCTCCTCTAGGCGCCTTGTGTCGGCGGGAACCTCTGCGGCCATCGCCATTACCTTGTTTAACCCGACGGAGGCCCACACTGCGCCTCCTCACTGAGAGACCCTAAACCCCAAACCCCAAACCCTAAACCCTAAACCCTAAAGCCCACTGAACATGAGAGCGATGGGGATTTGAGGGAGAAAGGGGCTTAGAATGCTGTTGGAGATGAAGGGTTCAGTGTGAGGGTTCAGCTTAGGCTCTGCAGTGTCTTGTACTTAGGCATTTTGGGGTGTCTAAGTCGAAGTGCTCAGGGAACGAGCATTCGTAGCGCCATCCAGCAGCCGAAACTGGCGGTGTAGCGGGTTCTGGCAGCGGCTAGCGACAGCATTGCTTGGTGTTTCGGGGTCGATGCGTCGAAACGATGACCCGTACCAGTAAATCCAAAACTTCAAATTGTCCAGCATTTTCCTGCAGACTTGATCCTTGCAGATGGCTTGAGGCTCTCACAAGTGACTCGCTTTGTGTTCAGGTTTAAGGACTAGTAACGAGAGCTTTTAATCTGGGTTTCGATGTTGAGTGTACTTGTAGTCTATAGGGCTTGGGTTTCTGAAGCCTTTAGGGTCTAGCCCAGGGATCTTTGGCCTCGCGCCAAACCTGCGATCTCTCGCTCTCTCTCTCTCTCTCTCCCTCTCCCTCCCTCCCTCCGTCCATCTCCATTTCTGTCTCTGTCTCTACCCGTTTCTCAGCCTGTCTGCCCGTATATCCGACCATCGTTTCCAGTATGTATGCTGGCCGGCCATGAAGAGTTTACATGTATCCGCTCCCCCCTGGGCGTCAGGTCATCAAGACACAGATGCAGAGCAGCTCCGCCAGCTTGACCATGCGGGAGGCCGGGGACAAGGGTTTAGGGTTTTAGGGTTTAGGGTTTAGGGTTTAGGGTTTAGGGTGGGGGAGAGAGGAGGCAGGGGATAGAATAGGGCCTGGATCCCTAGATGTTGTGCCATCATGTCGACACGTCTCAAGTAATCCCTGCGTGCCTCTGCCTCGAAGGTCGCATCCAAAGCCGCGGCCCTATTGGGGGTGTAGGGGTTTGCAGATAGATACTCTGGTATCAGCGGTACCCAGTGCGCAAGAGGTGTGCTCGGTTTGCACCTATCGTAAACCCTAAACCCTAAACCCTAAACCCTCAGGTCTGGAAGAAAGATGGCGCCAGAGGGTTCTGGGCTGGAGTTCGTCCCAACGTGGTAAGGCGGGAGAGAATCTTGTCTTCTGCTGTGCTGATTCTCTACTATTTGCTCAAGAACCCCAAAAAAATAAAAGATAATAATAATCCCTATATTACCCTTATAAGGAATTGTTTTTTTGGGGGGTGGTTCTTAAGCAACGGGTAGTTCTTACTTGTACTTGCATGAATAGTTGAAGGTGATGGCCTTGGGATGAAGGTGTTTACGTGCCAGCACAGTCGCCCTGCGTGAGTTTTTTCTTACTCCGGGGCTCACTATTTGCCACTCCATCTCCCTTGCCATGTGGCAGGACGTTTCTGGTCAATGGTGCCGAAATAGGCATCCTGCCGCACTGTTCCTTGTGCGTGCGGCTTGCTTTAGGAATCGAGAGTGAGCGACTAGAGCTTGGATTTTAGTCTCTGAGCTCCAACGAAAGGTGAAAGAGAGCAAGAGAGAGCAAGAGAGACAGAGAGAGAGTGGGGGAGCCCCTGTTATTGTACCCGGGCGAAGAAGAAGAAGAGAGATACAGACCTGATTACAAAGCCCATAAAGCCCAAAGCCTTCCGCCCATCTCTGCCCCAAGACCTACAACCTTCACCGGCACACCCCTCGGCAGTCTCAGGTAAGTTGAAGAAGATCTCCTAGAGCCCTCCCTAGATTGCACAGGCACCTATGATGAGTCCAAACTGGTGCTCATTGAGTCTGCCGGAGATGGGCTTGCCTGGTACCCAGCGACACGGGGTGACACCCAGCAAGGCGTTGTGAACTGTAAGCTTAGCAGCCCTGAGCCCACCTGAACCCTAAACCGCCTAGACCTTACAGAACTCCGAGAGACTTCACGATATAGCTAAATAATCATGTAGCAGTTATAGTAACACAATATAGTCATGTACTTACATGACAATATATATATATATATATATATGCACATACTAGTGCGGTGAGTCATGGTGCACTGAGTTGGCGCACGTCGGTGCCAGCTTTGTAGCCGGCTTGGCCTCCGCGTGTGCCGGGAGCCTACGTACCTGCTGGGTTTACGGGTTTAGGGGTTTCGAGGCATTGAGCGGGTTTAGGGTTTAGAGGGGTTTGGAGGGGTTTAGAGGGGTTTAGAGGGGTTTAGAGGGGTTTAGAGGGGTTTAGAGGGGTTTAGAGGGGTTTAGAGGGGTTTAGAGGGGTTTAGAGGGGTTTAGAGGGGTTTAGAGGGGTTTAGAGGGGTTTAGGGTTTACAGGTTTACGGTTTAGGGTCTAGGGGTTTAAGAGGTTTAAGAGGTTTAAGGGGTTTAGGGGTGTTCGGTTTAGGGCATTCAGCCCTCCCACCCTGTTATTCTACATTTGGCGCGGGGTCTCACAGGTCTCCACGCCGGCGGACGTTGTGAAGACCCGTTTCATGAACGCAGCCGGCTCCGAACAGGCGATACGCCGTACCTGCCGATACCACAGCTACACAACAATAGCATACAGTAGCCGCATAAGAACCTAAGCTCAAAAAGGTCATACGCTCTGTGAGTGAAGGAGCTCAAAGTTGTGGAGTTTCCATATGGTTTGGCAGTGGAGGAGGGCCTTGAAGCAACGCAAGGGGCCTTTCTCACGTGACGTTCCGTAGACCTTAACGTTAAGAGTTGAAGCAGATGGCTGTGGTGGAGGCATACCGCGGAATTGTGCACACGCTGTGCAGTATCCTCCGCGCAGATCTCAGCTGACAGCGTGTCAGGTGGCTGGTAACCACAGCAACGATGTGCTACTTTCACCGACTTCCGGGGCCTTTTTGGCACATGCCTTTCTGCCAGAGTTTGCTGTCATGGTGTCATGGTTGTTTGCCTTACGTCCCCGTGTGGTTCACCCGAAACCCTAAACCGGTTGCACTGGAGGCTGCAGGGATTTGAGCATCATGTAGTGTCCATGGAGGACGAGCCCACCCTTTCATAGACCTGATGCTCTCTTCCCGATTTTGAGCCCCGCTCAATAAAAGCAGGACTCTGCTTCCGGTAACTTGGAATTGACCTTAAAAAGCCCCTGAACCCAAAAGCCCTCTCCCTGCCATTCGAGTTTTTGTTAAGAACGAGGCAGGCAATGTACCGCCCTTTTCCAGCAAGTTGGGATCCTTCTTCTTTCAGTTTGGGGCTTTAAGTTTGAACTCCAGGGTTTCGGGTTTGGGGCTTAGCTGTTGTGATGCGCGTTTTGGGTTGTAGGGCAAGAGACTCAAAGCTTGAGGTTTTTTTGTGTTAAGTGCTGTAGGGTTAGAAGGCTTAGGATCCACAACAAGCGAACAGACCTGTGAGGCCTCGAGGGCTTCCTAGCCTTGTACAAGGCCGTGTCATGCCACAGGTATTCGTCATCGGGTTTGGGTTTGGGGTTGGGGTTTATTTAGGGTTTGGGGTCTAGGGGTGTTTAGAGCTTCCGCTTCAGGGCTCAGGCTTAGAGTTCTTGGGATGTGAGACTTCGGAAATGGGAGGTTTGGGAGGGAACTGCTTTAGGCTGACCTCCAAGGCAGCCCATCCTGAGCTTACTGAGGAAGAAAGTTTAAGCAAAAATAGCACAACAGCAGTCGCGATAGCAATTCATAGCATGAAAATTAAGCTAAGAAATACATCTTGCATCTCCCTGCCTCAGGGCTTTGCCCTGATCGTTTGTCGCAAGCTGGTTTGGTGCAAGGCTCAGCTTCTTGTGAAGGGCCGTAGACACGGTATAGCCTCCAGTAGACACCTCAGCAAGCCAGTCAGCAAGTGGTTCAGGTGCACCGTGTTCTTCGTGATCTACGAGCGACTGCTGCGAGCGGTCTTCCAGGCATGGGGAGTGGTGCTGCCGCACTGCCTGGAGTTAGTGGCCGCAGGCTGTGGCACCACGGTTCGGTTTGTATCATGGGTCATGCGCAGGCACTGCGTGTGCTGGAAACCTACTGACCCGAACCAATCATGGGCTCAGAAGGAAGGCGAGGCCGCAGCATCAGGACTAGCACGTCACGGCTTGCACAGCACTGTTTTCCACCGACTGTGCATTGTCGTCATGGGCATGGTTAACGACCGGATCTCCGCGCTTGCATTCGGACAGCGGCTGTATGGAAGTTTGAAGTACGATGTTCAGTGCTCAAAGTGCTTAAGCCCCTACTACATGAGCCCTATAGCTGTTGAATCTTGATTTGGCCCTGGCACTGCAGACCGGAGACTTGGTGGAGATGTAGTGCGCTTCAAAGAAGTCCTGGTATCGCGGGACAAGCGCCCCGAAATTTCCCTGCGGAACGACAGATCTTCAGGAACAGAAAGAAACGACGCTACCGAAGACCTGGACAGGCAGATTGGCCATAGTCGTAGGGGCCTTCGAGATAGGCTCGGCTCATGTTTTTCAACACTTCGCCATGGCTGTGGCATCCGACAATATCCGACATGTTGTGCCAAGTGACTCTATCTGCAGCCATGACTGGTTCAGAAGATCGCGGCCGGCGATCTTTCTTGGGCCTGGATGGCTACACTGTGCATGCGACAGGTCGCGGCTTTCCCCAGAAGATGTTAGTTGGGGCTTCGCTTCGCCATGAAACCTTTGCAGTCGAAGTGGGGGGGGGGGGGGGGGTGGCCTACATGAGTGCCGTCTCCTTGATGCCCTTGTGTCCGGTGATTCTGTGGTGCCACCCCAACTCTGCGGGAGCACTGACGCAGGCCCCAGGCACTAGAGCACTAGAGCCTCTAGACCCCTAAACCCTAAACATCTAAAGGCTCCTGCAAGTAAAACAGCCAACTCCCCTAGGAAGACTCGGTAGAGGCGAGATGCTCCTTCAGCATCCTCCGTCTTTCCCCCGCGCGCGTGGCTGCGTGGGCCTCAGGAAGTGAGGAAGTGGAGCCGATGGGTGCAAGGTGTTCAGGGAGTTAGGGATGCAGGGCTTGGGGTTCGGGTTCTAGGATGTTCCTCGCGCCCTAAAATAAGAGACTACTGGGGATCAACCCCTCCTGCTGTGATCTGCTGTGCAGACTGCCTTCGCATCCAGTTTGGCCACATTGTGACATTTAGGAGAGCCCCTGCCCTGAACCCCTGAAACCCTGAACCCTTCAAACCCTAAACCCTTTGAAACCCGAAACTGCCAATATGGAAGCTCTCTCCATGAGCTCCCAACATCCGACGCGCGGAGCAGCCTAAACCCTAAACCCTAAACCCTAAACCCTAAACCCTAAACCCTAAACCCTAAAGCCTAAAGCCTAAAGCCCAAAGCCTAAAGCCTAAAGCCCCCCTGACCACTGGGCGATGAGCCCTCGGCAGCCCCAATAGTGATGCAGGCGAGGCGTGCGACATGCGGCCAGAGAGGAAGGCTACACGAGACCCCATGAAGCCCTACACCCTTGTAGGGTTTCGGGTTTAGGGTTTAGGGTTTAGCGCAATTCAACAGGTTATAGCGCTCAGCCCAGCCAAAGCAGCAACACTTCGGATGTCCGATGCAGCGACGTCCCCGACTCACAGCAGAACTCACTTGCCAGGGCCTAGAGTCTGTCGATACTGTCGATGTCCAGAGGCTTTAGGGTTTAGGTCGACTCGCCAAGCAGGGCTTGGGAGTGGCGCGCCACCCACTGGTGCCCCTTCCCTGGCCCCGGATGGGGTCAACAAGGGCAAGAGGGCTGGAAGTGAAGCTATTGAAGCCATTGAAGCTATTGAGCAGCTATTGAAGCTATTGAAGCTATTTAGGGTTTAGGGTTTAGGGTTTAGGGTTGAAGAAGCACTGCCGAGGCTCTTGCAAGACGAGGTTTCGCTGCAGCCTCAGACGTAGGATGCAACTGACTCAGGGTTAGCCTAGGTGTCTTCCCCTTTAGGGCTTAGGGTTTGGGGTTTAGGGTTCAGGGTTTTGGGTTTATATGGGTATGACTGGATGCGCAACAAGCTAGTTGTAGGTGAAATGGTGATTGCTGTATAAGCCGTCGAGAAGCTCAACATCTGCATGTCACATGTAAGCCGTTTGCAAAGAACATCGACATCGAGATCGAAAGACCTGAGAAATGATTGAACTCCTAAACCCTAAAACCTCAACCCTAAACCCTAAACCCTACACTAAACTTGTCTCACCTCGACCCCGTACTTTGGGGACCAAGGGGCTCGAAGCATGAGCTTGATCAGCCTGTATGCCAAGCCCTAAACCCTAAGCCCCAAACCCTAAGCCCTAAATGAAACCCTAAACCCTACACCCGAAACTTCCCTGAACCCTAAACCCTAAAACCTAGCCCTAAACTGTCGGAGGCCGGGGCCGAGACCCACGGTGGAGACGACATCCACAAGGCCAGGGAATCAGGGTTTTGGAACAAAATTTTAGGTGGGGGGAGCTTCGTCTGCCATTGGCTTAAGAATCCCCCCCCCCCCAAAAAAAAAAAAAGCAACAACAACAGCAACAATAAATGCTCTTCCGTACTATAAGGCAACATAGGGATTGTTAACTTTTCTTTTCAGGGGTTGCTTAAGTAAAAAGTAGTCATGGCATTTCCCAGAATGGGCACTTAAAGGTTCATGGGTAGTTATAACTAGGGTTGCAAGTAAGGCAACCTATACTCTAACCTTCATTAAGGTACCTCTAACCTTACTTAGAACTAATTACCCATGAACCTTCAAGTACCCCTTGTACATCCCCAAATGCTTTAATCCAGAGCCCGCGGAACGGTCACCCCCCCGTGTTCGGAAAACCCCCCAAAGTAGAGGGTTTAGGATGCGGCACCGCTGATGCAGGTGGAGAGGCTGGTGTGTGACTTTTCGGTCCGGATGCCAGATCTCTTCTCTCCATGAAGAAATCGGTTGGAGCAAGCCGGAGTATGCGTATTTGCAGCTTTCTGTT